AAACATCGTGAAGGTCTAGAAATTTTGAAACATCCCAACAACCTCAACCGAGACAAAGGTATGCAAGTAAACTCTATTTGGCATACTGCCCTCCCTGTTTTTTAATTGACCAGCTGATCAATTAAAATACGCTGATTGGCTGGATTCAAGCCTCGTCCCCTACTCCCTAAACACCATCTACACAAAGGGGAGCCATTTACCCAAGGGAGCTCAGTATCAGAGTTCTCAGTCCTGATGATGCAAACTGCAACGTTTGTGAAACGTCGGCATATCGCTGATTCAAGACACGGCTCCATTCCGGAAGCTGTACCTAGACAAGGTACCATTGGTTTGACATTGGTATCAATGTTCTTTAATTAATTGCTCAACATTTTAAAAATTAAATATTTATAAAATTAATGAAAATAAATTAATATAGAAGATAATTAATACAAAAAGAATAACTTAAATATAGTACTTAACTTAGTTAATAACTTAAAGTTGATTGTTTGCAAAATGGTAGGGGAATTTTGTATTTAGTTTGACTTAATAAATATATGTATGAAGTATGGGACATTTGGTGTCAGACACTCTGTATATGCATTCGCATGTTAAACGATGCATAACTTATTGATAGCTTAATTTACATTTTATCGAAAACTCTATTCATGTACACAGAGAGAACGATTTATTGATTCAAATAAATGTTTCTTTAGTTCTCTCTCTATAAATGTTTCTTTAGTGTCTCTTTGGAATAGTCCAAACGAATTATTTGGTTGACACAACAAAAATATATCTTTGGAACTAAGCCGCAAATAAATATTTTTGTTCCTTCAAACAAAATTTTGTTTGATCAATAAAAAAATTCGTTTAGACTATTTCAAAGAAGCGTTTATTTGATTTAACCAAATCGTTTTCTCTGTGTATGTACATTTTTATCAAAGATCTGTTCAATGTTGCGAGAGAAAAACTTAATATTTTCCCATTCGATAAATACTGGAATAATTTTTTTACTCTGATTTTCGTTTATAAAAAAGCCTTTACCATATATGAATGAAAAAAAATGAGAGACATGTGCGAAATATATATGCAGATACGGCGGAGGCGAACCGAAGAGCTTCCATACTGCTTTCAGCGAATCGATCAACGACCTGAAAGATTGCGACGAAAACGAAATGATCGCGGAGAGTCTGACGCTCGAAACGGAAAACGAGAAGAGGCACAGATTAGACAGCTTCTATTCCGCGACGTCGGCGAAGTCGACTTACTTCAGCACAGGCTCGGTCTCGAGCTACCATAGCGTTGACGACGGCGACAGTGCGGAGATTGGTACGCTATTAATCGTACATGCGTCTATTGAATTAAATAACGCTCATGCTAATGAGTCCATTGTCCTGCTAAGGCGCGGAGAACATCTGTAGCAGCCAAATTATGTACGGGCCGTCGTCCACTCTTCCAGCGCTGACCACGCAACTTTCGAATTGCTGGACGCAGATTCAAGGTAAGGGAACTGATGGAAACCACAAATGTACAGATACATAAATATGCATGCACCAGATGCATTAAAAGTAATCTAAATGCTAAATTTCAAATTTACAATTCGCGCTTTAATCAAATTTTTCTTTTCCATCTTTTTTGTCCTTATAACGTGCTGAATTAAATAGTTCCAGGCTAGAAGTTTCACACTTTCGCTTTTATAAATCACAAGCGATTATAAAAATCATAAGTATTTATAAATCATTCGCGAGGCGAATTGAAAAACGTGCCCATATAGTTGTAATTGCCATATAATACGGTACAAAGGCTACTGTGTAGCGCGTCATTGATTAACCCTTTAACTCCAGTTGATTTCGAAGCAGCGTCACGTGCTTAATAAAATACCGAATGCAATGGATCATAATTGAAAAAAAGAATGTTTATAATATATTGGAGTTGTAACACGGTGCTTCTGTGCGACGCGTCGGAAAGATGAGATTTATATTTGCTGTAGGGGAAATCGGGGTTAGATGCTCTATATTTAAAAATTTCGAAGTTACAGAGAAGTTACAACTTCTCAGGCAACTAATTGTGACTGACTGATAAACATGATAACCTTTTTCTACGTATTAATATCCGTCACGATCTTGTTAACTGTATATTTTGTTTTGCAATAACTAAAATACGAACATATAGCATAGCCATTTTGCCCTGGTGTTGGGTTCAGTTGCCCAGTAGAGCAAAGTAAAGGCCACATATAAAATATGTATCCTGATTAGTAGTTCCAGAGTCTCCGCGAGAGGTCTCCATAGCCTTCCTGCCGGCTTTTAATTATGAGCTAACTTTATTACTCATCCACCTCTATTTCAATCATTTTATGAACGAAAATACCAGAAACAGTATATCATACATTTGCAAGAAATTTTATTCTAGCTAGTAACACATCGCTTAATTTTGTTCAATCACGATGAAGAATATTAACACAAAATTTCACGAGGCTCGACAAAATTTACTTTGCTATTACCAAATAAGTTTTTTCTATTTCTTAACTGTAATATTCCGATTTTAATGAGACTCAGGGAAAAGTATTTATGCACTAAAAGGACCACGGTTTTGTATTCCTTCCAAGATAAATACTAAAAAAAAAAGTATATAAGCAACATAGAGTCATATAGTCCCGGTCTCCCTTATTATTTGTTACAATAGAGCGGAAATTAATCAGATAAATTTTACACTGCCATAATGACGATCGCATAGCACACGAGTAAACACATGCACACTTGGCATTTTAGGAGAATTTGTGATGGTACACGCGGCCTATCAGTCGCATCTTGGACAGGATTACTTTTTCGCACCGCGCGCTAGATTGGCGGACGGAATTATCTGGCTTTTAATAGTCAAAGCTGGCATCACTCGAGCCAACTTGTTGCACGTAAGTTACGTTCCAAATCAACACAGAGAGATCCGGAATGAAACAGAGAACCACTACAGTGTTCAACGTGTCTGTTGATTAGTTTTTGTTAGGTCTAAGTAGCGGGACTCACGTGATGTGCGCTGGAGTCGATATGATACCAGTAAAAGCATTCCGAATCGAACCCATGGAGGGTACAAGCGGCCATATCACCGTGGACGGCGAAGAAGTGGATTACGGACCATTGCAAGCTGAGATATTCCCTTCTCTGGCGACGGTGATGGCACCCTGACATAAACGATAATCGCGTACGCTTAGCGGTGATATCAGCAACAAAATCAAACAACCCTCCAGGGGTAATAATTCCAACGGGAAAAAGGATCGTTTCAAATTAGTTTAGAGCGAATTACGATATCAGATTGTTAATATGTATTAATACGAGTACCTTTAGCCAATACTTCGGATTGTAAATTCTCAATTGACAATCTGTACGTAGACTGTTTAGAAAAAAAGAAAAAAAGAGAGCTCGAAGCAACGAATTATCTATTACGGTTGCGATATACTCATAAGGGAAAATCCTTTTTCGCATCTTCATTACAAAATATGAGGATGACTTATAAGATGAGTACATATGTTATACAGAGTGATTTTTGTATAAACTGACTGATATAATTATTAGCGATTTTAGAACACATAGGGAAAAATGGCTCATACATGGATAGATGCGGATGTCAAAAGCGAGAAAATGCACGCTCAAAATTCCTGCAAAATACGTTGAAATAAAAAGATATGTTCACAAAATGATATTTACATTCGATCAAGCGGATCTGTAAAATAGCTCGAATAATTTATTTTTATTCCAACAATCAATAACCGTACAATTAACGTCTGTAAAACAGTCCGAACACTTTGCTTCTATTCTGATAATTAATAATCGTACAATTAAAATGACAAAATTATAAGAAAAATAGATTAAAAGGTAAATTACATGTTACTTTAATTTCACGATAATTTATTTCATTAATTCTTTTATTTGTTTGAGCAAAAGAAACGTGCTCAGATTATGTTTCTTTATTTCGTAGGAATTTTATATATGTATTTTCTCGCATCTTATGTAATTAATCAAGAAGTCCATATCGAGCCAGGAGCTTAAACGTCTCCATCTATAAAGTAATTGTTTCCTCTAGAGTTTCTCTAGTCAAAGCATAATGATTTCTGATTGGTTTGTATCTTGTCTACTTTTAGAGATGACGTGAGTCGAAGCGAGAGAGAAATTCTAGAGGAGTGAGAAAAAAAATTCTAAGACTGAAATGACGAAGCACGCTGCAACTTTTCTCTTATTCACTCATTTCTTTCCTATAAGTGGCGAACGATGTCCTAACTCTAACTAGAGGAACTCTAGTTTTCTCTATATGATATTCCTTTTTATATACTGCGTTTCAAAACGGATTAAACATTTTTTTCTATGCAGTTTAAGACGCAGTTAATGACTCAATGTGAAAATACAATTTTTGAAATTAATATGTGTTTTTTCTCATTAGACCATCGGCTACGTTTCAAAATGCGTTGAAAAAAGTGTTCAAATCGTTTTGAAACCTAGTGTACTTAAAAAATTTCTATGAACCATTTTTCATGTCTTCTAAATTAATAATTATATCGGTCACTTTATAACGAATTATCCTATATATGTATTTAATAAATGTGTGTTAAATGCAAACATACAAGACTACGTGTGAAGAAAGACCCCTGATATTTTGCAAACAATCATGTAAAATTTTGAGAATGAATGAAAAAAGACTAACGAATCAGAGCACGCGATGTTGTACGACGGTCTCTATAAGCACAGACCTCGTTTCATAACATCGTGCGCTATAATTCTCTAATATTTTTTATTAATATCTCGATATTTATTTTTATCTCGATATTACCTGGTTGTTTACAAAATGCCAGGAATCTACGTGCTCAGGTTGATATACTTTCATACGTGAATTTGTATGTCTTATATCAGACATGCATATATATATATATATATATATATATATATATATATATATATATATATATATATATA